ACACAGAGATCACAGAAGAATAAGAGGTGAACTCCAGACACTAATTGCAGCTTTTCCCTACACACACAAGCAAATATAGATCTCTAAATATGTAAACAATATTTTATTTTATTTCATATTGTTGTTATTGTATATTTTATATATATATTTACAACTTTTCTCTTTATTTTAATAAAGTTATACACTTTTTTTTACTCTCTATATAACTTCAATAAAAAAATTATTTACAGTATGTTATTTTGTTTAATGCAGTTAAATTTATATAATATATTTTATATAATTGTAAATTATAGGCTGTCAATATTGCAAACATTTTTGAAAAAAATCCTTTAACAAAATCTAAATATGCTGTTGCTTCTGTTTCTTATTTTTGCTTTGTAATGGTGTTGTGTGTTTTTTTTTAATTAGACGGACATGAGAAACGATTAAGAGAGAGGGGGGAAAAGACAGACATCCCAAGTCTATCTCTCTGAAATGAGGGGATGTCTGAAAAGATGCGGCAAAGTTAACCAGCCAGGACTGAAATCCATCACAGCCATGTCAAGAACTAAGGCCTTCAAACTGAATTACATTTTTAGGATTCAAATCTTCTCACTCCATTGTATTAAGAGTTAAATCTGTTTAGCACCTTAATGTCTTGGTGTAGATATATCACTGTGAACAGGTATGTTGAACTGTAATATTCCAAAGCAGTCACTTGACAAAATCGTTTTTCATTTGATTTAGTAAAAGGATTTAATGCACCTAATACAAATTAGCACATTTATTCAGCTTTCTCCACTAAAATCAGAACATTAGGCCCTCTGAAGTTAATGTGCAATATATAAAACACAGAGACAGGAGGGTCTGTTTGGTGTTGCTACTATATACTAGTGAAAATCCAGAAAGAAAAAAAAAAAAAACAGTTACAAATTTAACATGAAAAAATTTACATCCTTTAGATTTAGTGTGAAATAAGTGCACTTAAGGTGTTTATTTACAAAAAAACACATTGAAAACAAGTTCAATTACTCCTATAGGATACTTTACCTCTCTGCATGTCCGATACACTGTATGTGCTCAGTATAGTCCCACAATTCTCAATTCCTGCATCATTTGGTTCCTGTTATTTCCGGTTTGTCTCACTCTCATTGAACTCCACTCCAGGTAGAGACCTGTACCATGTTCTGTCACCATCTCTCTAATCATACAGACCAATCCAAGCCCTAATTTGCTTCCTGTTTCATGCTGTTAACAGAGTTCTCTTTGACACTTGCTGCTGACTGGAATCTAAGTGGAATATTTAACTTTTTTATTTCCATAAATGCTTCAGGTAAGACACAGGTGTCAGCATTTGAGTTNATTTCCATAAATGCTTCAGGTAAGACACAGGTGTCAGCATTTGAGTTGTAAAACACTGACAGTTATCTTACATTATCAAGTATTTAAATTGCTAGTCCATTTGTGCACAGTGAACCTCTAACTGCCTCTGTTTTTTTAAGGTTCTTGCTCAACATTTACAGACATCCCAAGTTCGAAAAACTCATTTCAGGGAGATGGTTATTGAACAAGTAGGTTCACAAGTAGGCCAATTCACTTTGGTTCAGGTAGATATTTTTTAATGAAGAAAATAACAATATTATTGTACAATTTATTAATGAAGCTTTATAATAATAAATAAGTGCCATAAAATATTTGCTCGTATGTGCTTGCATTAATTATTTGTGCCCATGCTTTGCACACTCGCATTTTATTTGGCGCCCTATATTTGCTCCTGTACGTATAGTACAGGTTTAGCTGACGCCCCTGGCTGCACCATGCCCAATACATGCACACTCCACCATTCTTCACCTTCACTAGACATGGATCCACTTTAGTATATTCTGCTGTAAAATGAGGTGACTGTAAAAGAGTAACTGAAACTTATTGGCTTATTTTTCAGACTAATCCAATCAGCGCTCTGACAACCACTCGCCTGGAATGCTCATTGAACAGAGCATCGCCTT